CACGCCATAGGCGGAAGGCAGGCGCTAAACCGCTGAGCCACCCGGGAATCCCCTGGGCTTATCTTTATTAGGAATTAGTTAGAAAGGAACACTGGATGTAGCATGGAAGTATTGAATCGTTATATTGTACACTTGAAACTAATATTACACTGTATATTATCTGGAATTTAAATAAAAACTTTAAAAATAAGAATTAGTTAGAATGCATCATAGTTGGTAGAACACCTATACAAGGAAATTAAGATGTCAAACAAGTATGCTCGTAAATTCAGGAAATAGCTCAGCTTTTGTTGTTCATTGAAAAAGAAATAAAATATGAGTTTTGGAATTCACTTCAATGTCATTTTTCTATTGAAATAGTTCTTTGAATAAATATGCATATTATTCTGATAATAAAAACTTCAAATTATGATATTCACTCAGAGATTAGCATATAGCAGTAATAATGATATGAAATAATGGTAGTAAAATATGGCTCCTCCACATAAGAGAGAATAGCAGATGAACATAAAAAAATGCAAGTTCAAAGAGCAATTTATTCAGTGGCCAGCAAGCCAAGGGATTTGTGTAATCTAGCCTAGAGGAAACAGAGGTAGAGAGGAGCTTCTGGGAGTCTGATCTAATGACATAGATGACCAAGGGTGAACTTTAACAAAAATAAATTATTTGATTTTCTCCCCAGTCAAACCCCAAGCCTATATGTTTAGTAGCCATGAGCTTACCAGCAGGCTTCATAACATAAAAAGGAATTCAGGAAAACATCAAAGAGCAACATAGATCCTTAAAATATGATAGCAACTGATCCAACTAGAGTAGGTGATACTTCATAAAGTGGTACTTACTAACATCCCGTCCATGCAACATTTAAAACTCTAAATCAGAGAACTGATACAATTGTGTTAAATGTTAAATGAGACTCAGTCATGTGAATCAATACAAAGACATTTCCACTTCTTCAGATTTATCAGTTTATATTCTGGAAATTTTCTATAATTATCCTATAGCAGAGATGACTGAGTGGTTCACCAAAAACTTCTGTACTCCTTTCCAGAGTATAGACTGTCATGAGAATCCTCTTTCCAGTCAAGGACATTTTTTTTTCCAGATTCTTTGTATATTAAGAAGCCATGTGACTAGTTCTTGACAATGTCTTAGTAGAAACAGTATATGCTACTTCGAAATGGTTAAGAGTGAATATAAGTTCTCTCTCCTCACTCTACCCATCTGTCTGCTGAACAAAGACTCTAGGGCCCCAGGGGATAGCATAGACACACAAGATAGTAGGAGACAGGGGCCCTGAATCACCACTTGGGGGAAATCTCACACACAAATCAAGAACACCTGCACTGGACTGGTATGCTTGCAAGAAAATAAGCTTTTATTGGTAAACTCTCTGAAACCTTGAAGTGTGTTTATTATAGAGGCTAGTCGTGCCCTAAGTAGTGTAGATTTGTATGAACCATTTAGTGAGGGCCTATTATATGCAAATATAGCAGAATAAGTTTATGGAAATGTTGCTATCACTCAGGTGCAAGTTCATATGTTGTGAGAAACATTTTTTTTAAAATCCAAAGTTTATACATTTATCAAGTGTTTACCATGATCCATATATTGTGCTAAAAACTTTAAAGACTTTAGTCACTTAATCTCATGTGATCTTCTGCATTTGGGATTCTTTGGGACACTGGCCCAGCTCACAAAACATGCCACCCAGCCACACCCACCCAGCTACAGCAGTGAGTAAACAGTCCTTTTGTTCCACATTACTTCCTGACCACAGATGATCAAAAACCTCGATAATATTGAGCAATCAGGAGATCATTAGTGATTTTCTAGGAAAAGTTTTTAAATCCCTTTTTTTTCATTTTATTTATTTATTCATGAGAGACATAGAGAAAGGCAGAGATGTAGGCAGAGGGAGAAGTAGGCTCCTCACAGGAAGCCTGATGCGGTACTCTGTCCCAGGACCCCAAGATCACGCCCTGAGCCAAAGGCAGACACTCAACCACTAAGCCACCCAGGCGTCCCCAGTAAAAGTTTTTAGAAATCTGTGCACTTTGCTCTAGCTACATGGCCTCCATGTAACATGATCTGATTCAGTTTCAAATGCTTTTTTATTTCTTGTTTAAATGCTAATCTTTTTAAATTCATTTTATTAAGAAAGCTACCTTTCTATGGATGTTAATAGCTTATCGAGCTAATATTTGTAAATGGTCTGTTTGGACAGGTACAATTATGTAATGCAGTGTTTCAAGTGGGGATTTTTTTTCCTTTTGTTTCCTTTAAAAAAAAAATGTCAATGTCCCTCAAGTTATGGCAATGTACCTTGTGCCACTGCATTTTCAAAGTGTACTTTTTTTTTTTTTACCGTTTCAAACAAATGGAAAAATACTTATAAAATGCTTTTGTGGGGGGTGGGGGAGGTTGTGATCTGTTATTGTTTTACAGAATAAGCACTTTGCATAGAGCTGAGTACACTAAGGATGGTAAACCATTTACCAGTGCCTGTCATAACATGTCTTTAAGAGAATGCATGGATATACAGCTCTAGAGGACCAATATAGCTCACATCAACAGGCTGAAGTTGAGGGCTGCATTTGTTAATTTGTATGTTTTTACAGTATCTAATGTTCTAGCAAGGCCAGCATATGCATAGTTGATTCGTGACTTATCATTTCGAGGGCACTAAATAGACTCCACTGAATTTTAAAAACTCGCTATAGCTTGTCTTACCTTTAACACCCTATTGCTAAGGTCATCTAAACCCATCTTGCTTAAGGAAGTTATGTTTCCTGAAAGGTTGTCGGATATTAGTCACCCATTAGGGTCCTGAGACATGGGTCAGGGAGAGTCTTGAAGGAAATGATCCTGGGATGCGTTTATTTTACAGAAATAAAGAGGTCAGGATCATAGAGGAGTTCTTTCCTTAATGGGATTCATAAGACTAGGGTTCTAAGCAACCCTAAAACAGCATTGAAGCCCCAGGATCCTGAAAATGAGAGTTACAGAGCCCTAACCTTTGCCACGAGTAACTAACTATTACAGGCTAAGCAGGGGTTACATATTCATCTAAACTCCCTCAACATCGACAAAAGCAGTACTCATGAGTACTTCTGTATTTTGGCATATGCTGAACTTCAATATGGAACTACTCTCCCTGAGTTAATTTTAGAACAGAATGTGGTATATAGCAGCTATTAAATAAGTGTTTGTTGAATTAATAGATCTATTAAAAGGAAACAATGTAGACAACACTTTGTGAAGTTACATTTGACGAGAAAGTGGTAGATTGGCTGCTAAAGAAAAGAAATGAAGTGTTCAGTAAGTTATCTTTAGTGGGAAATGTGAAAGGCAACAGGAAGAATTTCTTGAAAGAAAGACGTTGAAATATAAGCAAGGAAAAAAGTAGTCCTCGGCATTAACAATCCCTTATTAATTAGATACATATAGAATTTAACATTTGCTGATATTACAAAAGGTGAGTATCTTTGGTTAAGCACTAAATATTACAGTTTATGCTCCTTAAATAAACTATGAAGATAAGCTTAACTAGAGCAAGTAAGTCATCACAGTCCCAGCATTACGTTTTTTTATAATTTGTGCTGAAAGTAATATTACATATTTCCTTTGCCTTGAAAATATAGCACATGTGCATACTTTTATTTAAACGCTAAAGGTGAATCTTAAAATAATGTAGCAAATCAGTTATTCATAATTTGGTTACTTGATTTTGCTAATAGAGGAAGAAAAATCATTCTATGTTTGAAAAAATAATGTGATTGTCTTTGACAACACAAAATTTAAACAGGTAAAAAGTAATAAATTTTCATTAAGTGCAGCCATACTTTGGAAACAGGGAGGAGGGAGTTTGTTCTCCGGGTCTTACAGCTACACTTGAGGATAGCTGCCAGTCAGATATATTGAACAGTTTCACGGGCTGCTCTGCCTCAGTGAGCAAAGCTATCACAAGAAACCAGCAGAGAGTAGCACACTTTCTATGGGGCTGGGAAAACAAAGGGTAGAGCATTAAACACACACAACAAACACTCAGAGAAGAGAAACTACAAAAAAAAAAAAAAAGGAGCAATCAGTCTCTGTGTGAATGTACTATTTTTTTAAGGTGAACTTATTCACCTATTTGAGGATCCAATTTGCCAAATTACGACATTTGAAAATTACCCTGATCTGATATAACAAAGGCATTGATGTGTCTAGGCACTGGTGTGTATTCTGATGCCTCTGCCTTTGTCTATTGTTCTTCAAGTGACTGCCTGATAATCCTCACTCTTTATCTCCTCAAAGATCTCTTAAGGTCTAAAGAAATGAAATCCTTGGAGGTATCATTGAGAGACATAAGACATGCAAGAGTGAATTTCTAACCTGGAAGAGCTTACCACAGGCGTCTTTTACACTTGGGTGAAAAAAAAGAGCCTCCCTCCTTTTGTGGTCCACTTGGCAGAGCTAGATCGTTGGCTGGATGTGACAGCATGATCATAGCGAGTAGGGGTCTGGCCACTGGAAAGAGCATTTCCTAATTAATGCTGCAGTACACACATCCTCTTAGATGCAGCACTGTAACAGGATGTGGTTTTGGCAGGACTCTTTCTCGGAACAAAAACATGGGGCATCTGTCTGTCCATCAACTCTCTGGGTGACACACTGGAAGTCAACAAGACCTGGATCTCTGTCTTAGGCACCCATCTGACATGCAAAAACACAAGTGCCTCCATAGCCTAAAGTCATACTACTTTCCACAGTGTTCCTAGCAGAACTTCTTAAGATTAAACCTTCTTAGTTAGGATCTGTGCTTGCCAATAATCCCTCAAATTTCTGTCATAGTTTCTTTTGTCATTAGAGAGCTTTTCAACTGTTTCCAAGGATATTGACAAGGACTCAAGAGATCTTATAGTCTCTCCTTTGTTCATATCTGGGAGAAAGGTGTTGGTTTTTAGAGCATCGCTGCCCATCATTTTATTTATTTACTTGTTTGTATATTTTCTCCATTTTCCTTCATTCACAATACAGACAAGTGAAGGCCCTGGGTGGCTGTGTATATGGGTAGGTTTACTCTGCTTCCTCTTTCAGTACAGTCAGTATAAGAATACAGCCAGTGGTAAGCAACAGTGGTGAGTACCAGGTGACTGTCTGAGTCATTTTAAGACAAAAGACACTGAGGTTCTATCTAAATACAGAAGCACTTCCTGACAAAAAGGGGAAAGTATGTCAATCGTGTGAGATGGAGGGGCACCTAAGGGGCCACCTGGGTGGTTCAGGGGTTGAGCGTCTGCCTTTAGCTCAGGTCATGATCCCAGGGTCCTAGGATAGAGTCCCACATCAGGGTCTCTCTAGGGAGCCTGCGTCTCCTTCTGCCTATGTCTCTGACTCTTTCTCTGTGTCTCTCATTAATAAATAAATAAAATCTTTTAAAAAATCATGTAAGATGGACTGAAAGACCCAGATGGTGCTGAAACCTGCCTCTCTTCTGTCCCACATTTTTCTACCCAAAGTTCAAACTCTTCTTCCCTTGCTTACAGGCTCAGTATGTTCTGAAGTTCAAGAGTCAATACGAATACTAAGCAATGGGAACATAAGGAGTCCTAATGTAAAGTCCTGAGTCTTGATTATGCTATCATTATCCTAAAATGGCCCCTTGTGATCCAGCTGTGACAACTTGCCCAGTTATGGTCATTTAGCACCTGATTGGTTCCTCCATGTGAATCCACACTGGAGCCCATATCAGCCAGTAAATGCTCTTTATTCAGCCATGTTATAAGCTGTGATGTATAAAAAACCATCCTCCTGACTGCCTGAAGCCTATAAAGTCAAAGAGAGAGCTAGATTCACACCAAAAGAAAAACTTGTGAACATTTGTATTTATAAGCTGGTAAGCTTTATTTGACAAATTTCATCGAGGATTTTAATGGAATCTGGATTATAGCCAGGGAAGATAAAGCAAGGGTGACAACTATGTCTTAAGTACAGTCGTTTTTTAAAAGATGATGATAAAATTGCTTTTTTATTTTTACCACTGGAACAAGATTTAAAACATAATTTAGATGAGACTTAACAATTATTTAAAATAATGGAAAGTGAACCCGCCTAAGTATAAGGAGTCACACATGCTCTTTTGTATGGGACAGGAACTTTCACATACCCCAGTTATTAGGCAAGTCATTTAGTATCATCTTTTCTCTCATGTGTATCTATATCTGTAAAACAAAAGATTCATGCATATAATCTTCAGTTCTGAATTCATTGGAATCCGTTAATGACCACACAGGAGCGCCACCATAACCTCAGTGTAGATTGGATATTTTCAGCTTATTCAGAGTTTACAACGTTAATTTATATTGACATTTATACTATCAAAAGTGCCAAAAAAAAATCAAAGTCAATCTGGTTGTGTTACATAGTGTGTTAAAGCTGGCTGCTATAACAGACAAACCTAGAAACAGTTGAGAAATTTCATTTTTTGTTCAAGTAAAGACCAGTAGTTGGAGGGAGAAGAGAGAGGGAATAGTTAGTTCCATGTAGTCATTCAGGGATGCAGGCTCATGGAGTCTCTGCTGTCTTCAATACGTGGCTTCCATGGTTGCCCTTTGTGTCACTGTTCAGTCAAAATTTGGAGAAAACAAGGCAAATGGAGCATCAAATGGGAGTTTCCAGAAGATAGGATTGGAAGTGTAATGTCTAACTTTTGCTATGTTCCAAGAGGGAGAGAGGTCAGATTTAGAGAGCAGCTAACTAGTCTGTACTGACATATCCAAAAAGTCATTTCAGAGCAGAATACGATGTATAAATTCTTTAAGCCCCAGTTCAGGTCATTTTCATTCCATAAAAATTTGCTTGGTTACCACAGGCCTCAACAATTCACTCCTCCCCCTTCTAAACTTTTTTATCTGTACTGTGTGTTTTGACACTTTATCATATTGTCTTGATATTTCTTTATGAAAATATGTCTCCTCTGTTAATACTAGAAGCTCTTGAGAACAGAGACAGTCTTAAACTTTGTACTTCCTATCTCCTACCCTCTCCCTTGTCATCCAGCACAATGCACTTAATAAAAGCCATTAAATGAAATAAATGTGATTCATTAATCTTGGTGAGGTGAGTTCTTTCAAAATACTGATAAATGTAAGCTATATTATGGGAATGGTGGGAGGGATCATCTGTTTTGTTTTTTTTTTTTCCAGTCCCACTGCCAAGGACAATGCCTGGCATGTCAAGGGCACTCAAAATTATTTGTTGCCTGAAAATCAAAAGTTCTATGATTGTACATTCTGTGATCATCATAGGGCCCTGCTACTTTTCTTGTGGTCAAATATATAAGACAAATTCTAGTAGAATAATTAATAATAATAATAATAATAATAATAGTTAACACTTCCATAGTGCTTACTGTATGCTAGACATATAGAAAAACTCATTTAATACAACAATATTTTGATAGTTATTAATGTAAGTTCCTTGTATATATGTACCTTTTGAACCAATGCTGGCCTTGTGTAAATTAGAAAAGGCACCACAGGCTGCATCTTTCACTAATCTATATTATCAAAGAGTATCCAGAGCAGAGACTTGCTCATAAATATTGAATGGATGAATGGATCAATGACAAAACTATATTATTTGAGTGGGTCTGAATGATAGTAATTCCATTTACTTTACCTTTTTGTCTGATTTTTTCTAATTTTTCTACAATGTTAATATGTCACTCAATATATAAACTTATTTGATAGAGACAAAAATCTATAAATAATAAGTGAGAGTAAAATGCATCAATCTGAGTACATTTTTAGTTAAGAAAGAAAATCAATATAATGCTCTTATCTAATTATTTTAATTTCCAAGATATATTCTGTGATAGAATTTATAATTACAAATGGTCACTTGTAAATCTCTTTTTTTAAGATATTATTTATTTATTTGAGAGAGAGAATGAGCAGGGGGAGGGGGAGAAGCAGACTCCCGGATAAGCAGAGAGCCAAACACACGGCTCCATCTCAGGACCCAGTGACCAAGACCTGAGCCAAAGGCAGATGCTCAACTGACTGAGCCACCCAGGTCACAGGTCATTTGTAAATCTTTTCATACTTCATTTCTGCAATTGAAGTTTGTACAAGTTGAGTTAAATGATACTTATAATTAAGTTTTCATTTTTAAATAATTATTCAAGTTACATAAAAATCATACAGAGGATTTACATGTACCTCTCACTGAATTTATCCCAATGGTAACACCTCACATAACTATAGCAAAATATTAAAACCAGAAATCGACATTGCTACAACCACAGACTTAATTCAGATCTTAGATACTTCAAATATTCAGATTTCACTAGTTGTTCGTTTTTTTTTAAAGAATTTTTATTCATTCATGAGAGATACAGAGAAAGAGGCAGAGACACAGAGAGAGGGAGACGCTGGACTGCATCCCCAGACCCGGGATCATGACCTGAGTTGAAGGCAGATGCGCAACCACTGAGCCACCCAGGTGTCTCCAGATTTCAATAGTTTTATGTGTGTATTATGTAGTTTCATGAAATTTTATCACATATGTAACCACCACCAAATTAAGATACATCTAAAGAATATACTAAGAGTATTTTAAGATTAAAATATCCCAAAAATAAAATTGTTAAATCTCTTTCTTAATTTTTCATCAGACAGTTGGTAGAATTATAATTAATTGCCAAAATAATTTGGACAAATAGGGAGTATTCTCACCATTTTTCTATTTAAAAATATATTGAAATTTTAAGGAAAAATTCATTTTAGATGCTCCCAGGGATTTCTCTTTTTAGAAAGGAATCTGGAGGAGAAGACTTACACAATGAATAATCATCTCTTATTTCTAATCATGTTTTTTTATTATTTTATAAATAAAAATTAGCAGTTTGAAACTTCAGAATGTTTATTCACGTCTTAAAAACAGATGATGCAATGTAAGTACTCTGCCACCAGGTGGTGGTCCCTCCAATATTTGTTTTGAGATTCACATCAAAACTAGGGATGATTTTCCATTTAACTCAAGGAAATATAACCTTTCATGCTCTTTATATTTAGTTACTTTAATAATCAGATTTAATCTAGCATTCAAGGACCCTACCATCAGTCTTCAATTTCCTTCTCAGGTTCATCTTCTACAGTTTCCCTGTATAAGAAACATTTGCTAAGCAGAATCTGGTATGTTCACTATATCTTATATATGTTTTTCCTCATTACACTTCTGTTTTATATTCATCTTTTTTTAAAACTAGTGCAGGAATATAATGCCTACTACATAGAGGGAGCTAAATGAATGCCTACTAGAAGACTTTGCTTATTCATTCCTTGTATCTAAAATGCTTTGTCATCTATCTATCTTTAAAACTCCTCCAATGAATGCTCAATTTCAGCATCACCTCTTCCATTCTTCCAACATCATCACAGTAGGAAGTGATCTTTTCCTGCCATACATAGGAAGTACTCTGTTTTTAGCACAAATATGGCTCTTCCACATTGCCTTAAGTTGTAGCTTTTGAATATTAATCTCATATTTTAATCTTCCCTTCGCACAGTATTTGGGTATTCAATGACTGTTAGTTGAGTTAATGCATTTCAATAACACATTTTAGAGAGAAATTTGAAAAAGGAAATCCCTATACTTATTACCATTTTTATTGATCTTTAAATTTTCTTTATTATTTATCCTGAATCTAACTTGAAGTCAAATTCCCTGCCTTGTTGTTTAAAAGTCAGCAAAGTGTCAAGTCTTCAAACATTGGATGGGCTGGAGTCAATATTCCTTAACGTATTAACACTTCCTTGAGATACTCAGTCCTTCTGTTGGGGCAGTTCTTCATTCAGCCTCTTTACAGTGTATCCCACTTACCACTTGAACCAAAGAAACTCTTCAATTCTAGCCCCCTCTGCTCAGGAGTCTCTCTGCTTACTGTCTAAGCTTGCTTTTAACATCTAACACTAGAATCTTTAAGAAAAGCATTACTCTTCTTTTTTCTTATTAAAAAGAAACATTACAAGCACTAGCTATGTTTTTCTTTTATTAGAATTAGTAGCTAGGTGACCTTGAATTGTATGTCCAATATATCTTCTTTCAGAAACACTCTAGTAATAACTTGAGTTC